CCGAAGAAGAATTGGCCTCCCAATCTTGTTCACTACTCAGCCCCTATCCACTACTCAATTTCATATTTGCCAAATAAAGTTTATCTTTCATGCAAGGAAGGAACATAAAATATTACAACTCTCCTGCCCAGGTCACAGATATTTGAATGGTAGAAAAAAAAGTAGTGTCAATTACTTTGCAAAATTAAATGGTTGACTGGAAATAAGAGATGTCAGAAATTATTATTGCTTATTTACACATCATGTAAGAAGAAATATGAGCAAAATATTTTGTGATTGGCAACAGGCATTTTTTCCTTTACTGTTGACAATGGTGACAAATCAATTCAGATTGGCTAAAAATAAAGCACCTGATCACTCAGGAATTGAAGCCGGGTCTCCTGCTTGGCAGTTGGAGATACTCACCACAATAATAACCAAGGATTGAAAGTTTAACTACACTTGATGTGTGTGGCTGCAAAACTTCTGTGGTATCCCTCCGGTTTTGTCGATGAGGCATTTTCAGTGAAAACACAACAAAATATTCATTGTAGCTGACGGTTAATTTAAATGTGTTCTCATGCACATCTCAGTTGGAAAAGCATTGGAGTGAAAATCAAAAGGTTTTTCCATGAATCCTGAGTATTTTTTCCCCAGCCAGATTGTAAATCATAATCACCCCCTATCATAATCACCCTATCACCCTATCACCCCCATCCTCGCCTCACTCCACTGGCTTCCCATCTCACAGAGTTCAAGATCCTGGTTCTCGAGTTCAAAGCCCTCCACGTTTTGCTTCCTCTGACCTTTCAGACCTCCTAGACCCCTACCATCCCACTCACTCCCTCTGCTCAGCGGGCTCCGGCCTGCTTCACGTCCCCTGCCTTGTTCACCACACTATTGGTGGCCGGGCCTTCTGTCATTCTGCCCCCACCCTCAGGAACCCATCCCATAGTCTGTCCGCCTCACCCCCTCCCTCGCCACCTTCAAGACCCAACTCAAGACCCTCCTCTTCGACCGTGCTTTCGATCTCCCTGCTTCCCTCCTGCCCTCCACCCTCCCTGATCCCTACTCCCAGCTCGGGTCCTGTAACTCTGTCTGACCAGCGCCTTGGGACGTCCTCCCGACATGAAAGGCTCCAATACACATAATTTTGTTGTTGGTGGTGGTGGTGTTTCAAAATCATTTTGGTATCTAGTAGCTTTTAGTGAATAGTGGGCTTGCCTCACAAGCAGGAGGATCAGTGTTGGATCCTGGGCAGGGCGAAACAAACTTACTCCACACACTTCTGTTTATCTAGTCTTTGTTACTTGATTGGTGCATCGCCTTTGGCGCAAATCCCCCTCTCACCAAAGAAAAATGGTCATTCATTTCAAGATTGTTTGTGGGAATAGTTATCAACACTGTTATGTCAAGTCACGTATTTTGATTGTGCTGGGTGTAAGAAAATAATTAAAATATAAACTGCTGCAGAAATGCAATAAATTATCATGGCCATGACTTTATTTACCAGGAATGGGCTTCTGATAAGGAAAAGTGGAAACCAATATTTTGCTTAGGATCATCTGTTCAGACATCTGCCAGTCTGAACACTGCTGGTAAAAATGCCTTCTTGTAAACAGTAAATTTTGGGTTCAAATCGTGAAGTTTCTGGCTGAACACACGAATATCACCAATCTGGGTCTTGCTGCCATGACTGTGACAGGAAGTAATTCAAACACCACGTTGTTACAAATAAACCTGCAGATTTTGTGTAACAGAAGAACCGACAACATTGCAGTGAAATCATGAAAACTCTTTCATTTGGTGTTTTATTTTGTGATGTTTCTGGTAAAAATTTACAGAGATACCATGGACATGACCAGGGAGGAGTCTGTCAGTCTCTGTGCTGCAGGCGCCGGTTGTCGGTTTTGCTCCCAATTGTTACTCAGGCTCCGGTTTGGATTCAGGTGGGTTTTAGACCCTATTCAGCTCAATGAATCGATTTGACTCATCCCCGTGAGCCATATAAATGTAAAAGTGTTGTTATTATCACCTATTAGCGAATGAGGGACCTTGATTATGAGGAAAGGAGAGAGAGTTGAGGATTATTCTCATTGGAGCAGAGAATGTTACGAGGAGATCTAATAGAGGTCTTCAAAATCATGAGGGGATTTGATAGGTTAGAAAGGGAAACACTGTGTCCACTGGTGGGTGTGTCGGCGACTCGAGGTCACAGATTCAAAATAGTCTCTAAAAGAAGCCAAGGTGAGGGGAGAGGACATTTCTTCATGCAGCGAGTTGTTCGAATCTGAAATGCATTGCCTGAATGGGCGGTCGAGGCCGATTCGATAACACTCGTAAAAACACGGTGGACGGGTATTTGAGGAGGACGGGTTTGCAGGTTATGGGGAAAAGGCCGGGGAGTGGGATTGACATTACATTGCTCTATTCAAAGAGCCGCACAGACTCGATGGGCCGAATGGCCTTTTTTTATGCTGTACGATTCTATGGTTGACAGGACAGTTATGATAATACAATACTATCACTGAGCAGTGATCGGGTGGAGAAGGGGCTGTACCTTTGGGTGTTGGTTTCTACTGCACAGCAAGAAGTCTCTGGTGTAAATCCAGGGATATCCTTAAACTGTGACAATTTTGCATAGAAAACCCCTTTGTCACTGTGGTCATATTTTGACATGACAACCTAATGACCTGAGAAACCAATTTGCTCAAATACCTCAAAAGACAAGAACATCCTCATTTAATAAACGAACGTTGTGGCAACGAGGGGGTGCTGAACCCGCCCTGGGGACAGCAGCACCAGAGCAGCAACACACAGTGTGTCAGAGACAACACCAATTACTGATGTACAAATTTCTTAAGGAAAAAAATTCCCTCTGGATTTGTTGCGCTCCGAGACCCAAATCGCCAAACGTTCAGCAGCAGAACCTTGATCCATAGGAAGTTGGCGTCGAGAGCTGCGCTCCTCAGCCGGTGGAGCTCCCAGGCTTTCAATTCAGGGACATGAGTTCGAACCCCACGATTGGTGCAATGTTTCCATACTTTTTTTTCAGTTTCTCGTTTCATTTCAGTTTTGATTGTTCACCGACAGCGCTGAACTTGAGCAGTGATGTTTCAATCTGGAAACCATAGTCAAGTGTGTCGCCAGCACAATGTAGCTGATTCAAAGTCTGAAGGCCATTGACGACATTATAAACACATTATTAATAGTGACATAAAATCGGACTAGACAAACGCTGACTATTGTCAGTCTCGCTCAGCTGATAAAACATCACACAACTTCACCCCAAAGTCATGTTCTTGAAATGACCTGTACAATTGTAACTTTGATTTTATAGGTAATTGTATTTCTGTGGTGTTATCGTCATCACTCTGGACTTTGAACCCAGTGATCAAATTGTGTTGGCAACCCCACTAGTTCTTTTATTTACACATACAATCAACAACAATAACAAGATTACATTTGCTTAGCACCTTTCACGTCGAGAGGACGTCCCAAGGCGCTGACAATCGTCCAACAGCTCAGTATTTGATGACAGAACCAATTGTGCAGAACATCATGTTTGAAGTCCAATAAGTCTCACCAATCCTTCCAATGTGAAAAGCGCTATATAAATATAAATCTGTATTTTATCTACCAGAAAGTTCTATTGGTGTCATAGTTATCATGTTCTCATCTGGTATGAGAGATGTCAGGCTCCAAACTGAGCAAACGCCTTAAGTAAAATGGTATACTTGATAAATTTTGAAATGCTTTCACTCTCACGGTTAAATCAAAGATTTTGAAAAAGACTCATCATTATTTTTAGATTTTTGATCTGTTTTAATATTAATGTTTCCCTAAACCCAATTACTGCACATGTTTTGAATAAATTTCAAGACCATTTATTTTCAGATTTGCTTCCTCATAAACAAGAGATCTCTTTGCATTTGCACGACTTGCAGGCACTGCACTCACTGCCTGGAAGCCAAACAGAGCAGGAGGTGGTCCCTGAATACGCCATGTCCTGTCCTCCACATTCTTGATTGTAGGTTCGACTGAACTTTTGGTTTGTAATTACAAATTTGAAGTGTGATTTTCACACCGCTGTATATCATGTTCTACTTTGAAATTTTAAATGTACTTGTAAATTTTTTCCAGCAAAACAAGTCACGACAAGTCACAAGTCACAAAACAGGAGGAATTGGTGCTATTCTGATGAGCCTCAGGTGATGCACCCAAAGGTGGTTTGTCCCATCTGCTGGACTGGCCACACCACTGAATCTGTGACACTAACCTACTTTTTTTTTGGGGGGGGGTTTATAAATACAAGTTGTTGAATGTTGTTGTTGTTCTTGCGGTCGCCCTCACAAGGATCTTGAATGATCAGTGATGATCATAAATCCCAACAAGTCTTCAATAAGTGAAGACAATGAAGGCGTCTGTCAGAAAATCATGTAATAATTACAGCAATAAAACTTGAAATCTTGTCTGATCTCTCATCTGGTTTTCAATCACACAGAAGCCTTGGGAGGGCCTCCTGACACGCAGGGCAGTGTGTACATGTACATTTGTGTTGCTTTGTGAACTTTTACTGTCTTTACCCAATTAATAACTGTGAATTATGTGGGGATGTAGCTCAGAGTTAGAGCACATGCTGCGCATGAATGAGGTCTCGGGTTCAATCCCCAGCAACTCCACGTGTGGAGTATAACTATTATAAAGAGCCAGTTTTTCAATGATCCTGGTGCTCTCTGACAAATTGATGATTGCTTCCAGAAACAAGTTTATCAAGCAAGGCTTCTCTCAGCTGATATTCGTAAAGCTTGTCAAATGTTTTTCACACGTCTTATGTCTCTTGCTGATTGGGCACCAAGCTGCAGTCAGGAATCATCATCTTAAATTAGGTCATAGAGGACTGTGTTGATACGGATTTTGAAATAGGTGAGGGGTCTATTCGGAGGGATTCAAATACAGATTGTCAATCCATACAGATTGAAAACTTTCTGAACGAACAAAAGCAATTTGGTTGATGAGGAGCCTGGATAGCTCAGTTGGTAGAGCATCAGACTTTTAAAACAATCGGTTTCATGGCAATCTGAAGGGACTGTGTTCAAGTCACTGTTCGGATTTTTTTTTGATGGGGGAGAGTAACTACATACAAGTGGAGATTTTTTCCCTATATCAAATATGTCTAAGTATGACATTTATATCATAAATGTTATCACACAATATTTCCTTGTTTCCAACTTAGACTTGAGCATAGCGTCCTCTGATTAAATGTGATCAGAAAAACATGATCATTTAAGGCACATCCCACTCACACTGGTGGTGGTTCTAACTGAGATTTAATCCATGTTTGTTTTCATGACAAGACAACATTGAATGATCCTATCTATAAATTCAGCATCCTTATTCTCACTTTCAAATGCCTTACCTCCACCATCTCCTTCAACCACACCGACCCAGCTATAACTTTGGCTGAACAAAAGGTGACCTGCTTTCTCCCTCCCCACCTTCTATACTCCCCTTCCTGTGTGAGCTTTCACCATGCTCTGGGACACCAACTCAGAGTTCCTCCGACTCACTCCCTTCCTATGGTCTTTCTAGGGTGCCATAAAACATAACAATTTGATGGCGAGTTTGGTCATCTTTACCCTCCGCACCTGTTTCTCTTGCTCTGGAACAAAAACAGAGAGAGATGAGAAAATTCAACAGGTCAGGCAGCATCTATGGAGAAAGGAAAGTGAGTCAATGTTTTGGGTCCACAACCCTTCGTCAGAATGCCTGACCATAGATGGTCCCTGAATCTGCTGAGTTTTCCCAGCTCTCTCTGTTTTTGTTTCAGATTTCCAGCATCTGCTGTATTTTGTGTTTGTCGCTTGCTCTGGAGCCCAGTCAGGACTTTTTGTTTCTCCCACAAATTTACAATCCTTTCACTTTACTGTATATTCTGTGAAGCGCTTTGAAACGTCTAGAAGACGTGATAATTATTATTAATTGGTGAATTACATCCTTACAACACGATAGATGCCATGTAAATTATAAACAAATTGGGATATCCTCCCAACGTGAAAGGCGATATACAAATGTAATCTTGTTGTGTTGAATCATAATTGTGCACTGTGTTCGGACAATAACATGGCTTTCAAATTATGTGTGTGTTGAGCACTGCAGTAATTGCAAACGTGGCAGAAACTGGCTGTGCAGTTGACTCTGTGTTGCCATCAGAGAGAGAGGATTGAAACTCATCGAAGGAAGTTGTCTTTTCAGTTGAAGGTTATTAATTTTTCTCCGAGTTTAAATTTCCTGCTGGAAACTAATACATTTTGCTGGTTTTAAACAATTCAGTGCTGCTTGCTCAATGTTCAGCTACTTGAAACCAAGTGTGGCATCCATATTATCATTTCAATTAATGAATGAAATTCCTGGCCGGCGAATCATCGTGTCATTGAATGGACCAACATAAGATCAGTCGATTTGTTTCAGTCGATTTGTAATTTAAATTGAGCGGGTCTTTTCTTTCAAATGTTCTGACAAGTACCAACAATAAGATCCAAATTGCATGATGAATCACTGATATTTTAGTTTCAAACACAGGTTGATTTCATATTCAGACACCACCCAGACAAAACATTTTGTATGGATTTGCTGACAAATGATCAGCGATTGTAAATGAATCGCGGTTACATCAGTATTTACAATGTGGTTGATTAGGAAGTAGTAACATTTCACCAAAGTGCAATTGGCTATTCGCTTGGTTAAAATGTCACCAACTTTCATAATGAATCGACTTCTCAAATACATTTCTCGCAGGTCTTAACAGTTCCTTCACCCACAAGGTCCAGCTCCTATCAAACTCCAGCCCATTATCCTCACCCACAACGAACAGTGACCCCACATCTCACCTGGGCTACACTCACTCCTGTACTTGAATGGTCCACTTCAAGGTCAGCCCTCCACATGCTTTCACTCTCCAGCACCTCCACATCTTTCTGATTTCCTAATACCCATGTCTCTGCACCTCCTGCACTCAACTGACACTGACTTGCTGTGCGTGTCCCTTCCTTTTAGTGTCATCAATGGTGTTCACATTCAGTCCCAAGGTACAACCTCTGGAAATCTACGTTGGTAACTCCATCTCGATCACTCGCTAACTATCTTCAATTACCACCGGATGATCCATGTCTCCTATCCTCAACACCATTCTACCTTTCTCTGCATTGTCCTGTGTGAAATACAGAATGTTTTTGAGGAATAATAAAAGGTTGGCCACAGCTGAGTGTGATTGCCCAAACTCTAAAGAGATATTTTATACTAAAAGGAGAATATGTTGAGTGCAATAAATAGCTTCACCATGATTCATACTGATTCTGCTTTGGAAGCAGAAAGTGTTCATTCTTTCAAAAGCAAATGAGATAGATTTCTGTTAGGAAACAATGTGTGGAAATATAGCATATAGATACACACACACACAAAAATACACACACAGAGAAACAGACACCACACAGACTCAGAGACACAGCCAGACATACACACAGACAGACACACACACACAGACACACAAAGACACACACAGACAAAAAGACGCACAAGGCACGTTTCCTTACTTCACACACACAGACAGAGACACAAACACAGAAACACACAGACCGACAGAGAGACACAGACAGATAGACAGACAGAGACACACACACAGACAGAAAGGGAGACACACAGTATGTAGTTTGTGACAAGACTGCCGGGATAGTGGAAGGTGAACTGGATGGACCTTTGTCTTCTTTCGTCGAGCAAATTCTTATGTTATAGTACTAATAATCCGTACAACAACAACTTGCACTTATATAGCACTCTCCACAAAGTGAAGCTGCTGGAAATGGGAGGGGTGGGGGGAGTATGGTTTGCTTATCCCAGCCGTGTTGGGGGTTCAATAAACTGCACATCAGCACTTCATGTCTCCAGTCCTCACCTGTTCAGCCAATTATCCAGTCATTTTGCCTCTCAGGTCACTGTGCAGGGAATGATCATGTGGCTGTAAAGTCTGGCCAGGAAAGACTGGAAGAGAATTTCACTAATGTCACAAGGTGTAACAGTCAGCTGGGGGCAAATAATAATAATAATCCTAGCATTTCATACATTATCAAGTCATTAAACGTTTCAAAGCGTTTCACGGGATACAATGTAAGTCGTAGTAACTGTGTATTTTGTGAGTGGCAGCTAAATGTGCCCAGCGATGTCCCCACAAACACTGGATTGAATGACCAATTTTTGTTTGTTGAAGGGATTATTACGTCTGGAAAGTGACCCACTAATCGACTAACAAACAGGTTCCTACTTACTGCTGGTAAAGGTGTGTGTCTGTGTGTGTGTGTGTATGTCTGTGTGTGTCTATGTGGGTCTGTGTGTGCAGTAAGGAAACCTGCCTAAGGTTTCGCCCTGACCCGCCCGGGAATTGAACCCAGGTCCTCTCGCTTGCGAGGCAAGGTCTTTAACCTCTGAACTACAGGACTCCATTCATGTGACAAGGTTGGCAGGTGGGGGGGATGAACAGGAATCAGGGAGCCTGGTGTAGAAAGTTTGATGGGGGTGACTGTCAGCAACATGTACACAGTGAGCTGCACTGAGGAGACAGGTGCTGACACACCATGGACACACAGCTGACCCCACCCCCGCCCCCCCGTGGGCAGCAGCTCTCAGCAGAGGGTTGGCAGTGACCATCATGGCCACTGGCACATGGTGCAGGGCTCAGGGCAGAGGCTACAATGGGACGTTTGGGTTCCCACACAATGAAATATGAATCATCTCTCAGTTGGCATTGGGATCAGAGGCCTCAGCGTGTTCCCGCTGTAAGAAAGTGAGAGTGAATATAAACAAGCAGTAGACAGGAAGAGTTGTGCTGAAAGGACAGAGAGCAACGGAAACCTGTCTTTGCATTTCACATCTGATTAACAATATCATCATAGATTGTGTTTATGATGTCTGTGTCTGTGCTGGGACTCGCTCCCCCACTGGAGCTCTCTCCTCTAACCCCATTACCCTGCTGTGTTCTATCATGTCTGTGGTGCTCTTGAGACCATATCTTAGTGAAAGGCACTATATAAGTACACGTTGTTGTTGTTGTGCCGTATTTGAAGCTAGACTGACACATCAGTGCAGTACTGAGGACACAGCTCCGTCTATGCATTATGCAATAAAGGGCTGTCTGTCTGTCTGTTGTGATGGTTCATGTGCAATGACATAGAACATACAACAAAACATACCATTCAGTCCCACGTGTGCGTGTAGGTGTTTTACTCCACCCGTGCCCGCCCCTGCGATTCCCTCTCCTATTCTCCTCTATTCCTTTCTCCCTCATCCATCCATCAAGGTTCCACTTGACAAAAACAACATATGACATTTACACAGAGCCTTTCATGTCAGGAGGACATCTCAATGCGCTGCACAGTCAGGAGTTTGGCCGCGATTTGGGGATTGGGATCAGGAGGGGGCGGAGGACAGGGAGGGTGGGGGTGGGATGAACGAAGGCAGGGTTGGTTGAAGAGGAGGGTTTTGGGACGGGTCTTGAAGGAGGTGAGGGAGAGGGTGAGGCAGAGGGACTGTGGGAGGAGTTCCAGAGGGTAGGGGCAGAGAGGATGAACGCCCGTCCGCTAATGGATTGGCGGGGAAGGTGGGGGACATATCATCTGCGAACTGGGAGCTTGTACTCCCTATACCCAAGTCCAGGTCCTTTATATTGATCAAAAACCACAATGGTCCCAACACTGACCGCTGGGGGACACCTCTGCACACTTCCCTCCAGTCAGAAAAACAACCATTCACCACTATTCTTTGCTTTCTGTCTCCCAGTTAGTTTTGTATAGATTGGAAAGCTTGGCCAGATAGCACTCTCAATGGCAAGCTATATGGTTTAGCAGGTTAGACTCCAACTCTTACCCCCAACGCACACTCTGGGCTCACATTCACTAATCCTTACATTTGATGCTGGTTCTCAGCTTCAAAGTCCTCCACCGCCTTGCTCCTCCCTATCTCTGTCACCTCCTATACCCCTACAACCTGTCCATGCCTTCCGCTCAGTGGGCTCCGGCTTGCTTCATGCCTTCCCTTGCCTCCTTCAAGACCCATCTCAAGACCC